GTTGGATAGACACACATTGAGAAAACAGGAGAACAGCTTAATCCACAGGGAATAAAAAGGAAGGCCAAAAAACACACCGAGAAGAGAGCTGAAGAATGAAGTTAGAAAGATGGGGAGCTCCATGTAAATGGATAGAACGACTTGGCGTGAGTTGGTTGATTGAGGGATAGAAAGGCAGAAGAACAACAGCTGCAAAAGCCAGATTGTATTATTAGCGCTCTGACCATGTGTAAACAAAAAAAAATGGCTCACTCCACACACACGTTTGGGGTTGAAGGAGATAGGAAGGTAGTTGTACCCCACCAGGACATCACACAAGTGATGACACAAAGTGCCACCATGCGGAGAGATCCCCAGAACCCTTTCAGCCGTTAGACCATATCTATGACTAGGCCATATCTGTGGCTAGGCCATATTTATGCCCCAGCTATATTCAGGGCCTCCGGCAGAAGCCAGAGTGAGGCTTCAAATAACAAAATAAATTGCATCCCATAATGGGACTACTTATTTTTTTTAAAAAGACAACATACAGGGTTGAAGGAGTTAAAACATAAATGCCACCAAACAGGTAAATAAATAAAAAATGTGTTTGTGGCGAGTGTGTTTGTCCTTGGTAAGATTTGGAGGTGTATCGCGCAACATGTCACAAGCATTACCATTTAAAAAACAAAACAAATCCAAACTAAAAAATAACCCAGTCTTCTTTGATGTAGTTTCAAACCTTAAGGTTTTTCACTGTACATGTTGTCCAAGGAGCTAAACGAGCCACTATGAAAAATCACCATTATTAATTTCAAACAGTTGAATTTCGCAGCAGAAGTGGTCACCGAGTCAGGCAGATTTCTTGACTATTCTGTTACAAAATATAGAAGATATGAAAATGTTGGGGGGATTCATGACAAAGCCAGCCACGCTTCAAGGGACTCAAAGATCACATGAGATGCAGACATACACTTATTTGGACAGAAATGCTGACAAAAGTAGAGAAATAGAGGTTCATCATCATCAAGTGCCTTGCCAGCTGGCATAGAGGCATTCATACATCTGCAAGATCTTGGTCTTTGGTGTTCTAGATCAATTCCACTGATGATATACATCCATGCCACTGTCTTAAGCCATCTACCAACAAAACTGCAAAATTAAGTCAAACATGTGCACTACAGTCAGTAGAGAAGCATTATGCAGTGAACAGCTATTGTCTGCTGAAGTATTATTCCTTTCCACTCAAACAAAACAGTGTTAATGGAAGAAAGTTTTTTGGGGGGTTAACACATTTTTCAAATTGGTGGTCAATACACATCCATTGTTGCAGAAGGTATTTGAGACATGTACTGTCATGTCTTCAAGCCTGTGGTGGACATTTCCAACAGCTGCTAAAATGAATTTTTTATTGCTACTTTTCAGCTTCCCCCAAAAAGTGTTAGACCTTAGCATTGCTATTGTAACTATGACCTTTTAGCACAAGTTTTGATGACATTGTGCACTTTGTTTTTAAAATTTGTTCTGCATACGAAATGCAGTAAGACTTTACAAACACCCTGTATAGGCAAAAGGACAAATTTTTCATTCATCTTTTGAAACATATGACCAACTTTTTGACTGTATCAATAAATATACATAATATTAATGCTTTAAATGATTGCTGATATAAATTATAATTAGGTGTATCCTAACCAAAAAAATCAGGTCACAATGAATGCAATACAGGATACACAATATTAAATTACTTTGTCAGGACTGGTGTTAAGGATGATGTTCTTTGGACCTTTGTGTATATATATTTAGCAGTAACCCTATGATGGCAAATCAAATCAGGAGAGGAAAAACAACAAGACACACCAGGGTAGAAGAGGGAAAAACTAATGAAGGCAGGGGAAAAAATGAACTGAGAGAAAAAGTCAGTAAGTGAACTTATATTAGATGTCACTGTCTTGCCACTGGACCCAGATATGACTTAGGCGAGAAAGTGATGTCAACGACACTGCGAAACACTTCCTCATTTTCATCCAAGTCAAAGCACAAGTCAATCTTTCATCACCATCTCATATATGTTCAAGCGGATGTGCAGCACAACATCGACAAATTCGGTGATGCTTTTACAAACTTTGGGCTCACCATCAACAAAGATAAAACTGTAGCCATGCACCAGCCAGCCCCAGGGCAAAGATACATCGAGCCCAATATCACAGTGAATGGCTACAGATTAAACATTGTCAGGAAATTTACTTATCTAGGCAGCACCCTTTCACAGAGCTCCACAATTGATGACGAAGTAAATGCAAGGAACTCTAGGCATGCGAAACATGGACTGTACAGTCTGCCTTAGAAAACTAATGCAGATCATATGGCAATACAAAGTACCTGATACCGTAGTCTTTGAGAAAGCAGCCATGCCCAGCATCCATACTCTACTGATGCAGTATCATGTTCTTAGGCTGGTCATGTGGCACGCAGGCTCCCAAAAAAACTCTTCTATGGTGAGCTACAAAATGGGAAACGTTCCCAAGGCGGGTAAAAGAAACGCTTTAAGGACACCTTGAAATCTTCACTCAAAGCAATTAGGATGAATGACACCAATTGGGAGGCTGCCTCTCAAGACCGAAATGCATGACGTGCAGCTCTACACAAGGGCGTGGCTACATGTGAAACAAACAGAACAGCAAGACTGATTAAGAAAAGGTTGAACAGAAAGGCGACTGCAGGAGATCCCCTCCCTGGCACAACACTCATTCCTTGTCCTTACTGTCCAAGAACTTTTCTGGCCAGCATTGGCCTCATCAGTCATCTCTGTACTCATACTTGATGAAAAAGACTGGTCATCATCATCTTGATGGACAACACACTTACATTATCAGATGTCAACAGAATCAACAGCAACCAAATACAGAGTCTCTACAACTTACTAAGTACCGTTCTAACAAGTCATAAGTCAAATGTATATTTTTCAACACTATTTTCATTCAACAGGCCCTACAAATTGTACATAAAACACAAAACAAATTTATGTACACATAATTATTGTACATTGGCATGTACGCACCTCTAGGCATCAGGTATGGAAACTTTTTGACCCCACCATTGTAGTTATCTTTCATTACAATCATCATACAATTAAATCGTAAGTCGCATAAGTGGAGAAGAAGGTGTGTGGCCCAGCAATCAAAATAAAGAAATCATAATCATCTCCTCATATCTCATCAATCAATTATGCCTCCTTAGCCAGGCCTACAATCATTCATACCTCCTTAGCCAGGCCAACAATCATTCATACCTCCTTAGCCAGGCCTATAATCAATCATACCTCCTTAGCCAGGCCTATAAGCAATCATACCTCCTTAGCCAGGCCTATAAGCAATCATACCTCCTTAGCCAGGCCTATAAGCAATCATACCTCCTTAGCCAGGCCTATGAGCAATCATACCTCTTTAGCCAGGCCTATAAGCAATCATACCTCCTTAGCCAGGCCTATAAGCAATTATACCTCCTTAGCCAGGCCTATAAGCAATTATACCTCCTTAGCCAGGCCTATAAGCAATCATACCTCCTTAGCCAGGCCTACAATCAATAATACCTCCTTAGCCAGGCCTACAATCAATCATACCTCCTTAGCCAGGCCTATAAGCAATCATACATCCTTAGCCAGGCCTATAAGCAATCATAGCTCCTTAGCCAGGCCTATGAGCAATCATACCTCCTTAGCCAGGCCTATAAGCAATCATACCTCCTTAGCCAGGCCTATAAGCAATCATACCTCCTTAGCCAGGCCTATAAGCAATCATACCTCCTTAGCCAGGCCTATAAGCAATTATACCTCCTTAGCCAGGCCTATAAGCAATCATACCTCCTTAGCCAGGCCTACAATCAATAATACCTCCTTAGCCAGGCCTACAATCAATCATACCTACTTAGCCAGGCCTATAAGCAATCATACCTCCTTAGTCAGGCCTATAAGCAATCATACCTCCTTAGCCAGGCCTATAAGCAATCATAACTCCTTAGCCAGGCCTATAAGCAATTATACCTCCTTAGCCAGGCCTATGAGCAATCATACCTCCTTAGCCAGGCCTATAAGCAATCATACCTCCTTAGCCAGGCCTATGAGCAATCATACCTCCTTAGCCAGGCCTATGAGCAATTATACCTCCTTAGCCAGGCCAGCAATCATACCTCATTAGCCAGGCCTATAAGCAAATACCTCCTTAGCCAGGCCTATAAGCAATCATAGCTACTTAGCCAGGCCAGCAATCATACCTCCTTAGCCAGGCCTATAAGCAATCATACCTCCTTAGCCAGGTCAGCAATCATACCTCCTTAGCCAGGCCTATAAGCAATCATACCTCCTTAGCCAGGCCAGCAATCATACCTCCTTAGCCAGTCCTATAAGCAATCATACCTCCTTAGCCAGGCCTATAAGCAATCATACCTCCTTAACCAGGCCTGTAAGCAAAACCTCCTTAGCCAGGCCTATAAGCAATCATACCTCCTTAGCCAGGCCTATGAGCAATCATACCTCCTTAGCCAGGCCTATAAGCAATCATACCTCCTTAGTCAGGCCTATAAGCAATCATACCTCCTTAGCCATGCCTATGAGCAATCATACCTCCTTAGCCAGGCCTATAAGCAATCATACCTCCTTAGCCAGGCCTATAAGCAATCATACCTCCTTAGCCAGGCCTATGAGCAATCATACCTCCTTAGCCAGGCCAGCAATCATACCTCCTTAGCCAGGCCTATAAGCAATCATACCTCCTTAGCCAGGCCTATGAGCAATCATACCTCCTTAGCCAGGCCTACAATCAATCATTCCTCCTTAGCCAGGCCTACAGTCAATCATACCTTCTTAGCCAGGCCTACAATCAATCATACCTCCTTAGCCAGGCCTACAATCAATCATACCTCCTTAGCCAGGCCTACAATCATTCATACCTCCTTAGCCAGGCCTACAATCAATTATACCTTCTTAGCCAGGCCTACAAGCAGCTATGCCTTCTAACCCCTGCTTAACTACCAATCTTATTCAACATCCGGTTAAGAACATGTTTCACTTGTTGAGCTGAAGAGCGCCGTCTTCCTTTGCATTCAGCCATTTTGCGTCTTTTAATGTCTCTGTGAAGTTCGTAGAACAACTCGGGAATATCCTCGCCTCCATCACTTGCAGATGTCTCGAAAAATGCACACGCCATCTCCTGGGCCAAGAGCTCACCTTCATCTGTGGTTACCCGTCTTTCATGCAGAAGGTCAACCTGAAATGAAAAGAGGAGATGGATACTGAATTTGTACACAGCAATCTAGACAGATGGTTAGATGGGTGACTGGCAGGACATAGACAGATGGGTGACTGGCAGGATATATGACAGATGGTTAGATGGGTGACTGGCAGGACATATGACAGATGGGTGACTGGCAGGACATATGACAGATGGTTAGATGGGTGACTGGCAGGACATATGACAGATGGTTAGATGGGTGACTGGCAGGACTTATGACAGATGGTTAGATGGGTGACTGGCAGGACAGATGGTTAGATAGGTGACTGGCAGGACATATGACAGACGGTTAGATGGGTGACTGGCAGGACATATGACAGACGGTTAGATGGGTGACTGGCAGGACATATGACTGATGGTTAGATGGGTGACTGGCAGGACTTATGACAGATGGTTAGATGGGTGATTGGCAGGACTTATGACAGATGGTTAGATGGGTGACTGGCAGGACAGATGGTTAGATAGGTGACTGGCAGGACATATGACAGACGGTTAGATGGGTGACTGGCAGGACATATGACAGATGGTTAGATGGGTGACTGGCAGGACATATGACAGATGGTTAGATGGGTGACTGGCAGGACTTATGACAGATGGTTAGATGGGTGACTGGCAGGACAGATGGTTAGACGGTAGGTGACTGACTGGCAGGACATATGACAGACGGTTAGATGGGTGACTGGCAGGACATATGACTGATGGTTAGATGGGTGACTGGCAGGACATATGACTGATGGTTAGATGGGTGACTGGCAGGACATACAACAGACGGTTAGATGGGTGACTGGCAGGACATATGACAGACGGTTAGATGGGTGACTGGCAGGACATATGACAGACGGTTAGATGGGTGACTGGCAGGACATATGACAGATGGTTAAATGGGTGACTGGCAGGAAATATGACAGAGAGTTAGATGGGTGACTGGCAGGACATATGACAGACGGTTAGATGGGTGACTGGCAGACATATCACAGATGGTTAGATGGGTGACTGGCAGGACAAATGACAGACGGTTAGATGGGTGACTGGCAGGACATATGACAGATGGTTAGATGGGTGACTGGCAGGACATATGACAGACGGTTAGATGGGTGACTGGCAGGACATATGACTGAAATTACTGAGCTATGTATAACAGTAGACAGTACTACTTCATCATCATTAAGTGCCTTGCCAGCTGGCATAGGTATTCATGCATCTCCACAGATCACAGTCTTTGGTGTTTTGGGTCAATTCCACTGATGATATGATGGTCTGCCTCTGCCTCTTCTACCAGTAATCTTCCCAGTCATCACAGTATTTTCCAGTGCTCCTTCTCTCATCACATGATCAAAAAAACTTTGTCCCCGTCTCATTTTTGTACATAATGTTTTATTTTCCTTAGCCATTTCCAAGCAACCAACAGTCCAATGTATTTGCAACATTCTTCTCAAGAACCAGATCTCAGTTGCTTCCAACTGCCTGTGTTCTTGTAATGCTGACATCCCACAATGCACCAAGGCTTCAGACAGAAGATTACATTGGGATGGATGATACCAGCCTTATCCTGGGATGAGGAAAGGCAACCTGAAAACTTGGTTATGGCAGGCAGACAAGACCCTTAACCTTGCTTGGCAGCTGGTCTAGGAGGAAAGCTCCAACAAGCAACTTCATCCCTCCCTCCCCCTCCCCCCCCCCACTGTCAATGATTCCTATGCCTCTATGAAACACAGTATAACACTATCTCCTGGAAATACAGAAAGGTCACAATAAAACAAAGGTAGCAGCAAATGGGTGGCCAGTTAATAGGTGAAATAGATTTAAAACAAATAGATCGTGGGGAAAATGTATATCTGGTTAATTTATTAAAATATGTTGGTTGAGTGGCTGGTTGATTGTCTGGAAGTTTTATTGTCCATTTCTTTTTAAACTTGTCATACATCTCTTGTCAAGTTTTTCAAAGCGAGCAACTTGTAAACTTAAATGTCTTGATTTACCTGAATATATCTATGACAGCCTTATATACATCATAAAACAACACCATCCCTTCTTACTTAGAAAGAAGTACATCTCATCCAACATCCCAACAACCCGTCAATACTCATAACTCTGACTTATCACCTTTTTCAAATCATTAAAAAAAAAAAAATACACAACCCGAGTTACCTTCCTCCTATTTCCATTTTTCATATTCTGCTCTTTCAAAACATGCAACATGCAGTGACGTAATTTTTTTTTTTTTTTGGCTCTTTAAAGTCAGGCGCCATACGACCTGATATAGACATGTCATACTACTATCGGTAGTTGGGTGGTGGAGGATAAGATAACAGAATGAATGCAAAGGATGGATTCATAAATGGTTGATTTGTTGCGTGAGCAGATGTGTGACTAGTTATCTGGATAGTTTGGTGCGTGTCAAGAAGAATGTATTAATGAATCCGTGGACAGATGGACGATTCTCGCAACACACATGGCTGATGAATAAGACTGTTACACAGACAGACAGATGGATGGTTCTGGGTGGACGGACGGACGGACGGACGGACGGACGGACAGATAGATAGACAGATAGACAGATAGATAGATAGATAGATAGATAGATAGATAGATAGATAGATAGATAGATAGATAGATAGATAGATAGATAGATAGATAGATAGATAGATAGATAGATAGATAGATAGATAGATAGATAGATAGATAGATAGATAGATAGATAGATAGATAGATAGATAGATAGATCTAATAGATAGATAGATAGATAGATAGATAGATAGATAGAGATAGATAGATAGATAGATAGATAGATAGATAGATAGATAGATAGATAGATAGATAGATAGATAGATAGATAGCTAGATAGATAGATAGATAGATAGATAGATAGATAGATAGATAGATAGATAGATAGATAGATAGATAGATAGATAGATAGATAGATAGATAGATAGATAGATAGATAGATAGACTGACAGAGAGGTTTTAGATCGCCCTGGACAGCAAATCACGGCAAAGCGAAAGTTTAAAAACTGAAATCGTGTAAGATCGTGAGTTTATGAAACAAACTCTGCCACTCCCACGCTCCCCGTGAAAGAAAATTCATTCACTATTCTTATCTATGGCCTGCAATAGCCCTCAAGCTGGGCGTCACCCGTTTCTGCACATCTACGACTCACTTGTTGCACTACGCTGGATATACTTCATTTCATTTTCGTGTCTTAATGGCGTCTTTTTTAAATATCCTGTGCGGATTGAAAAAGGGGGGGGGGGGGGGGGCGCGCTCAGTAGGGTTGTCCCAGATACTGGCAGCAGGAAGCCAAGTGTTGGTAAGGGTTGACGGCCACGATAGATGAGGTGAGTGGTCGGGTCCGTTCCTCGTCACATTTCCTTCCGTTTTTTTTTTCCTGCTCGCGCCTTTAAGAGAGCGTTTGGCAATTTGTATTGTGGTTAAAAGATAGGCTGCGATTTGGGTTCATTTCGACCTAATTAATCCGGTTTCAACATAATCTAAATAAGTCGCCTTTTACGATAAGCTTGTTAGGAAGCAATTTATTTACAACCGCTGCTGCTTCTACTACTGCTGCTTCTGCTTCTACTACTGCTGCTGCTTCTACTACTGCTGCTGCTCTGCTTCTACTACTGCTGCTGCTTCTACTACTGCTGCTTATACTACTGCTGCTGCTGCTGCTTCTACTACTGCTGCTGCTTCTACTACTGCTGCTTCTACTACTGCTGCTTCTACTACTGCTGCTGCTGCTTCTACTACTGCTGCTGCTGCTGCTGCTTCTACTACTGCTGCTGCTTCTACTACTGCTGCTTCTACTACTGCTGCTGCTGCTGCTTCTACTACTGCTGCTGCTTCTACTACTGCTGCTTCTACTACTGCTGCTGCTGCTTCTACTACTGCTGCTGCTGCTGCTTCTACTACTACTGCTGCTGCTTCTACTACTGCTGCTGCTGCTGCTTCTACTACTGCTGCTTCTGCTTCTACTACTGCTGCTGCTGCTTCTACTACTGCTGCTTCTGCTTCTACTACTGCTGCTGCTTCTACTACTGCTGCTGCTGCTTCTACTACTTCTGCTGCTGCTTCTACTACTACTGCTGCTGCTGCTTCTACTACTTCTGCTGCTGCTTCTACTACTACTGCTGCTGCTGCTGCTTCTACTACTGCTGCTGCTTCTACTACTGCTGCTGCTGCTTCTACTACTGCTGCTTCTACTACTGCTGCTTGTACTACTGCTGCTGCTTCTACTACTACTGCTGCTGCTGCTTTTACTACTGCTGCTGCTGCTGCTTCTACTACTGCTGCTGCTGCTTTTACTACTACTGCTGCTGCTGCTTCTACTACTGCTGCTGCTGCTTCTACTACTGCTGCTGCTTCTACTACTGCTGGTTCTGCTTCTACTACTGCTGGTTCTGCTTCTACTACTACTACTGCTGCTGCTGCTTCTACTACTGCTGCTTCTGCTACTGCTGCTTCTACTACTGCTGCTGCTACTGCTGCTGCTTCTACTACTGCTGCTGCTGCTGCTTCTACTACTGCTGCCTACTGCTGCTGCTGCTACTGCTTCTACTACTGCTGCTTCTGTTCTACTACTGCTACAACTAACAGAACGTATTAGTCATCGCAGTAAGTAGTTGCAAAAAAAGTAGTAGTAAAAGTAGTATTAATAGAAGTGGTGGTGGTAGTAGTAGCAGGAGTAGTAGTAGTAGTAGCAGCAGCAGCAGCAATAGTAGAATAATTCACTATTAATATCAATGGTACTAGTACATTTGTCTGTGGCTTAGGCGCTGCGAACGGGCCTCGTAACGCTTGGTTCGATCCCAGCTGCGGACGATTTGTCTTGCGTTTATTTCGACAGTTGTACCGACGGTTTAACGCTCAGAAAGCAATGACAAACTACTGAACTTAAAATTTGCCTTAAAAAAAAAATTATGGGGTTGGTTCTGCAACACCCTGTAAATGATACGCAACTAATTTTCAACTAGTACTTCAACTGAAAATAGTCTACCAATACGACTAAACTAAAATCATAACTACTTAAACAACCCTACAACAACAGTGAGAAATGAACCCCCAACCACTCGCACACACCACCGCTCACACATACTACCGCTCACACACATCACCGCTCATGCATACTACCGCTCACACACATCACCGCTCATGCATACTACCGCTCACGCACATCACCGCTGACATACATAACCGCCCATACACACACAGCACACACCACCTGCCCACACGTGGACACACGTGTCGCACCGCTCACACTACACACAGCCACAGCTCTCTCTCTCTCACACACTATCACAGCCACCAGCACGTGGCCTGTCCTCACCTTGTTGCCCACAAGCACACACTAGCACACAGCCACCTGCACGTGGACTGTCCATACCTTGTTGCCCTCAAGCACACACTAGCACACAGCCACCAGCATGTGGCTTGTGCTCACTTTGTTGCCCACACGCGCACATACTAGCACACACCCACCCGCACGTGGCCTTCCCACAAGCCACACCCACTGTGTGCCCCAACACAAGCACACACCCAAAGCACACACTAGCACACACCCACTCGCACGTGGCCTGTCCTCGCCTTGTTGCCCTAAAGCACACACTAGCACACACCCACTCGCACGTGGCCTGTCCTCACCTTTTGCCCAAAAACACACACTAGCACACACCCACCCGCACGTAGCCTGTGCTCACCTTGTTGCCCACAAGCACACACTGCACGCTGGTTTTCTTCACCTGGTCCAGATGCTGCTTGAGCGTCGCCACCGCCTCGAAACTGAGCCGGTCGTTGATGGCGTAGACGAGGATGTAGCCCTCGGCCCAGCGGATGTTGCCTTCCTGGTGAATACTGTCATCCTGCAAGCAAAGAACGGTCTCGTTTTAGCTTGGCTCATTTCTATCCTGCTATTTTGTGCATTAAAACAAAGAAAAAGTAAAGATCCCTTTTCCACGCCTTTAGGCATATAGGGCTAGATCTATATTTGTATAGACCAATCGGCACAAGATGGGGTATGATTAACACTAGCTCGCTTCTGATTGATCGGCCTCCAGTCACCCGACCTTCGCACACTGCTAGTGGGGTGTTCGGCAATGCGTTCGTATCCCTTTAAACACGCCACCGCATATAAAGCTACAAAAACATTTGCAAGTTGAGTCTCCACCCCACCCACCCCCACCCCAGAGAGTGCTGCAACAGGCATCCTCTTTTTTAGAAGAAAAACGTAAATACAAGACAAGCCCTCCCCTCCCCCCCCCCCCCATTTTTTTTTTTCCCCACGGACAGCAAAAGTAAAAAATCTATCAATGGGACGTGACGTAGTTCGGCTGCGAAGATTATCGTAGATCTCACCCAAGATTGGGTGAGGTGGTCAGCATCACGCTGGCCGCCTTTACTTCCAAGGACTGCACCCGGTACCCACTCAAGGCTGGGTCGGACCTGGGAGTTAATCAAGGTCATTTCTGAAAAAACTCCGGCTCCTCCAGGGAGCGAACCCACGACCTTCCGATTCACACGCGAGCGTCTAGCCGCTGCGTAACGGTGACTCCCATTTGTGCATTCGAATGATATATAAACATAAGTAACAGACAAAGACAGAGAATCAAACACATGCACGTAGACAGGCATACACACATAGACAGACATAAAGTTAAGTGGGTACATACGTATGCAGAGACATACACAGGCTACAAAAATTCTGCCGCACTTAAAACACAGACACACGTATTTGTTATATTTGTACAGGCACCTGTACACACATGGTAGGAATAAGTTAAAAAACCGGACGCCCAAGTGTACTGTTGCGCACGTAAAAAAGTCCCTTTGCAGTTAGAAATCGAAAAGAGTAACCCAACGGCGCTGCCCTAGCAAAATTTGGAGTTAAAAATCTCACAGGATCCTCGCCGGTGCTACTGAGCTCGTGCACTGCGCAGATATTTTTTGGACTCAGGTTTGAGTCAGAAGTGGAACAGAGACCTTATGGGTTACTACCCTTGTGCCATGATGGTGATCTGTTGTCTAAATCTAAACTTAAGGAATCAGACAGGCAGGAATAATTTAGACATACTTGTGCACACAAAAAAGGGCATATACAGACAGACAGACAGAATAACGTACACACATACACAACGTACACACATACATAACGTACACACACACATAACGTACACACATACATAACGTACACACATACATACAGATCTTATTATATACACCCAGACACACATACCAACATTTCAAGCAACACTGTTAATATATGCAACAATAAACACATATTGGAGCGCCGCTGTCGTCTAGCGGCTTGCTTGCGGATCCGAGGGTCGTGGGTTCGAATCCTAACGTAGGCGAACTTTTCTTAAAAATGACATTGGCTCCAACGTCGACCCAGCCTTATATGGGTACCAGGGAAGTCATGGGAAGCAAAGGCGGCCAGGAGGACGTTGAACACATCAGCAACTGAGTGCCGAATGGTCTATAAAGTATAGGTCTAACCACAACCGAATTAAAAGCATCATGCACCCCTAGGCAAATCAATGTGCTGGGGCCCCTACGAAAACCCATCAAAGGAATACTTTTATTAATGTAATATCACTTGACATACGCCTCCGGGACAGCGTTCAGCGGGCCGATGTATTAGGATGGCACTAATATATGCCTAATACGGGCGAAAGCGTGAAAGAAGAGTAGTTGATTCAAACATATATTCGCATAAAAACACTTGCACATAAACAAACATCAAGACAGAGAAGACAAACGTACATATCCGGCTGTGTCGAGGATTTCCATCAGGGTCGGCTCCTCATCCAGTAGAGTCTGGTGTCTGTAGACCCGTTCTGAAACAGATTGATGTGTGTCTTGTTAGCTGAATCTACACTCAGAAACAGATTGATGTGTGTCTTGTTAGCTGACTCCACACTCAGAAACAGATTGATGTGTGTCTTGTTAGCTGACTCTACACTCAGAAACAGACAGACAGTGTTAAGACAGACACGCAAACAGACAGCCAGTATTAAGACAGACACGCAAACAGACAGATAGACAGGCAGTGTTAAAACAGACACGCAAACAGACAGATAGACATACAGTGTTGAGACAGGAAAGTTCAAAGAAACATGATCACGAAATAAACGGACAAAAAAGATCAACGAGAGACAGGCAAACTAATGTACAGGAATAAGGTGGACAGGTAAGAATAAGTTAGACATGTAGGAATAAATCAGAAAGGTAGAAATAAGTCAGACAGGTAGGAATAAGTTAGAAAGGTAGGAATAAATTACAAAGGTAGGAATAAGTTAGATCGGAAAAAGTTAGAAAGGTAGGAATAAATTACAAAGGTAGGAAAAAGTTAGGTCGAAATAGGTTAGAAAGAATGGAATGAGTAGGACAGGTAGGAAACAGTCAGAAAGAATGGAATGAGAGTAAGACAGGTAGGAATAGGTTAGACAGGTAGGAATAAGTTAGACAGGTAGGAATAAGTCTGACAGGTAGGAATAAGTTAGATAGGTAGGAATAAGTTAGAAAGGTTGGAATAAATTACAAAGGTAGGAATAAAATAGAAAGGTGAGAATAAATCAGAAAGGTGAGAATAAAATAGGAAGGTGAGAATAAATTAGAAAGGTTATAATAAATTACAAAGGTGAAAATACATTAGAAAGGCGGGAATAAATTAGAAAGGTGAGAATAAATTATAAAGGTGGGAATAAATTAGAAAGATGGGAATAAATTTGACAGGTGAGAATAAATTAAAAAGGTCAGAATAAATTACAAAGGTGAAAATACATTAGAAAGGTGAGAATAAATTAAAAGGTGAGAATAAATTAGAAAGGTGATAATAAATTACAAAGGTGAAAATACATTAGAAAGGTGGGAATAAATAAGAAAGGTGGGAATAAATCAGAAAGGTGGGAAAAAATTAGAAAGGTGGGATTAAATTTGACAGATAGGAACAAATTAGACAGATAGGAACAAATTAGACAGATAGGAACAAATTAGACAGATAGGAACAAATTAGACAGATGGAAACAAATTAGACAGATTGGAACAAATTAGACAGATAGAAACAAATTAGACAAATATAAATAAATTAAACAAGTAGGAATAAATTAGACAGGTAAGAATAAATTAGACAGGAATAAAGCAGACAGGTAAACAGTTAGACGGAAATAAAATGAACAGGTGGAAACAGAAAACAAAAAATAAAACAAAAAACAGACGAAGAAATACACGAACTATCAAAAAAGCAAAACAGACAACCAAACAGTTTGAAGGCGTGCAATGGGATAGACAGGCGACCACAAAGTTTTAAGGCGTGCAATGGGGTAGACAGACAACAAGAGATTTATAAAGAGTGAGGCACACCAGACAAGAAAACTGATAAATTCAACTGATTAAAAAAAAAATAACAGGTTTGCGGATAGGGGAACATAAACTAATTCACAGTCAGGAAGGTTACTAACAGACAAACGTGGGAAAAAAACTAGCGAGAGAGAGAGAGAGAGAGAGAGAAAGAGAGAGAGAGAGACAGAGACAGAGAGACAGAGAGACAGAGAGACAGAGGGGAGGGGTGGGGGAGACAGTGAATCAAACAGTAGAAATGGAACATGGAACTCACCCAAAGTTGGGTCGTACTCCCAGATAAAACGGTTTGTGAGAAACCTGACAACAAGAGCTGGAAACGAAAAACAGCAAGAAAAGTTGTACTCATTTCTTCAAATGTAGCCTGTCTGCCGACCTCAATTATAAACAGTTATCTCCTAGACGATCTCCTCTATGGCGAGTTACAGATGGACAGAAGCTGTCGAGGCTGGCATTTACTGTGATATAATGATGAGTGCAAGCGGGGCATGAAGGATACATGTATTTAGGTAGATTCGAGGAAGCGAAATGTCATGTGCTGTGGTCAGTTGAGGGGAGTAATCAGGAAAAGAATGGGAATAAAGGGGGAAAACTAATATCGAACAGGTTGGCGTCTGTGGCTAAAGCGTTGCGAGTCCGACTCGTAATTCCAACATACCGAGATCAAAACCTACTGCTGGCTGCGTGGATTTTTATCAAGGTATGGGTCGTCGCAGGTCGACCCAGCCTAAAATGGGTACTAGGATTGTGTCCTGGGGAAGTAAAAACGGCCGTCGTAATGCTGATCACATTACTACCTAGTGGCGACTGGTCTGTAAAATTATGGGTGCTCTTCCCACATGCCGATATGCCTAAGGGTGGGAAAAGGGATCTTTACTTGACTATCAAACAGGGTGAAAGCTGAGCTGATGAGAAGAAGCAAACCGTGTGTGTGATGTGTGATGGCAGCAACTGTTCGGACATTCCATGTTCTAATTGTAGAAGACTTGTCTTCTGAACTCGTTCAGCAACAGAAGGCTTCAAATGAGATGTCATTGTGAAGACATAACCACGATGGGAAATCATTATTGTTTACAGTGTTTCTCACACACCAGACGTTACTCGGAACTGCCAAAGCTCAGGGAACAGTGTATCTCACACACCAGACGTTACTTGGGACTGGCAAAGCTCAAGGAACAGTGTATCTCCCACACCAGACGTTACTCGGGACTGGCAAAGCTCAAGGAACAGTGTATCTCACACACCAGACGTTACTCGGGACTGCCAAAGCTCAAGGAACAGTGTTTCTCACACACCAGACGTTACTCGGGACTGGCAAAGCTCAAGGAACAGTGTATCTCACACACCAGACGTTACTCGGGACTGCCAAAGCTCAAGGAACAGTGTATCTCACACACCAGACGTTACTCGGGACTGCCAAAGCTCAAGGAACAGTGTATCTCACACACCAGACGTTACTCGGGACTGGCAAAGCTCAAGGTACAGTGTATCTCACACACCAGACGTTACTTCGGGACTGGCAAAGCTACCCACACCAACTGTTGACACCAGTGGTTGCCCAAACATTTCCTTTAGAATTTCTCACTCCCCGTGAATTCATTGCATTTTATCTTCATCCTCTCCTTTCCTGTTCTTGTTTTTTTTTTTTTTTTAATCTGAACCGGCAGAGAATAATATAAACATCGGCATCCAAGGAGATATGGAAACAGAGGCAGACTTTGCGAAAAGAATATTAGCAGACTTGCATCATGGCATGCAAAGATGTCGGCACATGTCTCTATGAAGTCGATGCTTCGCATGTCAACACAGAAATTTATTCTTGCTGTTGTGGATCGCAAGTAGTGAAGAGGCATCATCGCCTGTGCCAGCTGGCAAGGTAGTTGATAATGACCATCGAGTGGACAGGAAAGAGCAGCAGCCATCTGGCTCCCAACAAGACTTCAAGAAATCCAGTTTGTTGAGTTCACCCGTACTGCTCAATGAACAGTAAAATGGCTTCGGCTTCAACGAAGAAAGCCTAAAATGGGCAGCAGTCTTGGGAAGTAAAGGAGACCGGCGTGATGTTGACGACAACACACGCTCAGTGTCGATTGGTCCATAAAATATAGTAAAAATAAAGGACCCTTTTCCACGTCTTTAGACATATTGGCATATAGGGCTAGACCTATAATTTATAGACCATCGGCATTTGAGGACTAATGTTGTCATCAAATACAGGTTGATAGCTATTTGCCAAATACACTTGGGCCCTTTGATTTTTTTTTTAAAACAAAGAAGCCACAAAATCCTTATTCTCTGACATTGTATTCCGTCAGGTGCACAGGGGTGCGGTCAGTTGAATCATCATCATCATTTTTAGTGTGCTGTTAGACGTCACACAGGGCTCTCATTCGATTCCCCCACTCCGCTCTACTGCATGCAACTCTCTCAGTTTAGTCCAGGGTTTTTAGCTTCTGGTAATTGCGTTCCTTGGATTAGGCTTTTGCTCAGACCTCTTGTTTCCTATTTTAGTAATTTTTCGTTATTTGAAGCCCCATCCTGGCTTTTGGCGGGGGCCCTAATTATACCCGGGCCATAAATGTGGCCTAACGGCTGAACGGTGTTTCTGGGACCTCTCCATGAATGATCCTCATCCGCGTGATGGCACTTTGTGTCACAGGGTGTTTATCGTTTGTGTGATGTCCTGGTGGGGTACAACTTACATACATACAATACTTTGCTCGCTTCGTCTCAGACTGTGCCTAATTTACCTCCACCTTCTTTGTCTTACTGCAGTCGATACAGTTATTTGTCAAGACATCTCTCAGCAGTTGAATACTATTCAGCAAATCGAAGGTTCCTAGCTGAAATACTGATTTTGAAAACTTTGATTTCTTTTCCTTAGACCCCCATCCCCTCCTCCACCCCCACCCCTCCCCCACTCCGAACTACCGTAAAGCTGCAAATTTGAAAAACGAACAACATGCCATGCCAGAAATTGTTGTGTCTTGTTTCGTCACCCACAAGTCAAAAGTGTCCACGAAACGCTAGGTGAATGCTCCGAGACAGGCCCACACGTAGGAATCTTCTAAAAACACAAAACACCGTCTCTCGCATTTCCCGGACATATTTGCCAAGTAACTCCAAACAGACGCAAAGTGAGAAGAATGTGTTGATCTGGAGGTACCAACCGACTCGTATGTTGCGGAAAGGATGGCAAACAATTCAGTGGAAGAAAGATATAAACAAACACGACTGACGGTAGGTATCAATTTGTCTGGAATTCTGGAAAGAAAGAGACTTCAGCTACAGACTGCAAACGTTTGTGTGGAAATATCTACAATCTAGAACGTTCTAAATAAAGGTCTCCAACCCTTTTCCAAATAGATTGCTTTGTTCATATTTCGCTTGCTTTGGTTTTCTTTTGGATTTGCGTTTTTTTTTTCTTCAACACAAGTGCCTGTCTCCTCTTTACGATTATATATATAGACAGTCGTAGCACCGCGCAGGAACATTGTAGCCCTGGCGAAATTCCAATGGGTGTAGGACCTAATCTAAACCTCTTCCCACGCCTTCATGCCTACTAGGCATATGGTGTTAGCCCTACATTTTAGTTCAATACTGTGTCCCCATATCAGGCACAATTTTTAGTTGTTTTAAAGCCCCACCCTGGCTGTCGCCGGGGGCCCTAATATAACCCAACCTATGGGTTTAGTGAAGTTTCTGGTACCTGTCTCCGGGTGATCCTCATCCGAATAATGGCACTTTGTGTCACTAGGTGTTTTTCTCTCGGTGTGATGTCCTGGTGGGGTTGAAGGTCAGATCCATATTTTATAGACCAATCAACATCATGCCGGCAGTACTGACTTGCCAGGTAATTGAAATGTTGCCTTGAATGGAAAGTCTTCAGGGCGCTGTAAACCAGCATTGATTGGCTGTTGTGAGGTTTTAGTTTTTTGAAACCGAGGCACAGGAAGAGGATACAGGACACTGAATGAAGGTGCCTTGACTATGAAAGCACATAGGGCTGGAGAACTGGCTAGACAAAGTGACTTTTAGGTGTTCCGTGAAGACAGCGGCGTTGTGGACAGAATCAGCTGTCTGGGAGATGTGACGTTTAACTTGACAAAATTGGTGTAGCTCAAGCAAAGGCAGACTTTCACAAAACGAAGAATATTTTATGCAATCTTACTTTGTCAACTGAGACGAGCAGCTATATCAATCCTATACTGATATACGGATGTGAATCATGGACAGTTAGTTAATTAGTGAAAACTTATTTAGAAGCTGCAGAGATGTGGTTTTATAGGCAAATGATGAGAATATCCTGGACAGATTAAAAGAGCAACGAAGACGTCTTGAAAGAAATTGACCAACGAAGAGAACTGATTGCCCACATCAGAAAGAGACAATCTACATTCTTTGGTCATGTGATGAGAAGGAGAAAACTGAAATACATCGTTGATAGTAGGAAAGTTGGAGGGGAAAAGAGGCAGAGGGAGACCAAGATAACAGATGCTGGACAGTTTGACATCATTTCATGAAAAATTTTCTGCGTCAGAGTTGATTAAAAGTACACGAGACAGAAGGTTGGGGATAGACATGACTACCAACGCCACACGGCATGGACTTGAAGAAGAAGAAGAAAAGCACCCCCCCCCACCCCCCCCCCCGACAAACATCTTAAGCACTATTAATAACTTTCAGAAAAACCACGCACCAAAGTATCCCACACACACAAATTCTATAAATAAAAGAAACAATCAATAATTGGTAACTGTGTGTTCAAATATCAATGTGATGGCTGACACTGCTTTGGCTTGATATCCGCTATTCTTTCACTTTATTATTCACAATTTTTATTATTCACCTTTTTCAATTCCTTTTTGTACATTATCGCTAGCTTTCTCTCCTAGCCGCCCGTTTGCCTTTTTCACTACCGTGTCCAGCCGGCACACATCGTATTCCCCCAGCCGACACGTGTGGTCATTCTGCTGAGTAAACACCGACCCAGCCGCATCGAGATACCAGCTAAATGATTTCGTGTATCTATGTAGTATTGTTTAATTTGTATGTGCTGATCAAGGCTCCATAGCCGCAACGTTCACGTTTTGTTTGTAATTTTTTTTGGTGTGTAGCCTGCTAATATTCTTTTCGTTCGGCTTTATATCTTTTTTTTATTCTTCTTAGTCTTCTTCTTTTTTCTTTTTTCCTGTGGGTGTCTGTATATGTGATTGTATATGTGTGTATGCACACATGTGTGTGTATGTATGTGTGCGTATGTATACAAGTATGTATGTGTGTAAGTATGTGAGTGTATGCATGGATGTATGCATGTATGTGTGAGTATGTATGCATGTATGTGGGTGTATGTATGTGTGTGATTGTATGTGAGTGTATATGTGTGATTGTCAGCGTATGTGTGTGTATGTGGGTGTTGTATATGTGATTGTATGTTTGTGTATGTGTGTGAGTGCATGTATGTCTATGTATGTGTGTGTATGTGTGTGTTTGTGTACGTATGTATGTTGGTGTATGTATGGATGTATGTTTGTATTATGTATGCATGTAGGTGTAGCCTATGTATGTATGCATGTATGCATGTGGGTGTATGTATGTATGCATGTGTGCGTATATGTATGAGAGTGCATCTATGTATGTATAACGTATGTCTGTATATGAGTGTGTATGTATGACAATGTAAGAGTTTGTGTACGTGTGTGTGTGTATGATTGTATATACATGATGTGTCTATGCATTATTCTATATTGTATACATTTTTAATTATAAACATTACATACATTATTGTAAACAGGCATTGGTGCTCTGAAAGATGAGTGCTTAGAAGGGCTGAATGTCAGACTAGCCTGCGTGCCTAATCTGTAACCCTTTCAAAATAAAGTTTGTTCGTTCCTCTTCGTCTTCTTCTTTTTCTTCTTCTTATTTTTCTTCTTTTGTCTTATTCTTCTTCTGTCTTCTTCTTCTGTCTTCTTTTTCTTCTTCTTCTTCTTCTTCTTCTTCTTCTTCTTCTTCTTCTTCTTCTTCTTCTTCTTCTTCTTCTTCTTCTTCTTCTTCTTCTTCTTCTTCTTCTTCTTCTTCTTCTTCTTCTTCTTCTTCTTCTTCTTCTTCTTCTTCTTCTTCTTCTTCTTCTTCTTCTTCTTCTTCTTCTTTTCTTCTTTTCTTCTTCTTCTTCTTCTTCTTCTTCTTCTTCTTCTCTTCTTCTTCTTCTTCTTCTTCTTCTTCTTCTTCTTCTTCTTCTTCTTCTTCTTCTTCTTCTTCTTCTTCTTCTTCTTCTTCTTCTTCTTCTTCTTCTTCTTCTTCTTCTTCTTCTTCTTCTTCTTCTTCTTCTTCTTCTTCTTCTGACTTCTTCATCTTCTTCTTCTTCTTCTTCTTCTGTTTCTTCTGCGTTGGCCCCTAAAAGGCAGGTTGCACGTTATACAGTCGTTTACAACTAGGCTGCGATAGATGTGCTTTGCTTGGACAAACACATCTGATTTCAACAAACCCATAATCAGTTGCCTTTTACGACATGCTTGTTGGGGACCCAGAAGACACCTTAAGAGAAAACAGTAAGTAAAAAAGCAATAAACAAATTTTCAGAAATACACTTTCACAAACGAACAAACAAACACCTACCAGATTTGCCTACTCCAGGGTTCCCTAGAACACAAATCTTGCTGTCTGCACTCTTGGTCTTACCAACAGCAACTGACGTCATCATAAACAGATAATCCCAAAACTGACCACAAAGGAAATATCTCACCAAAATTCAGCTTGCCGTAAGCCGATTACAGCAAAACTTAGTTCAAAACTTATTTCCTTACAGTCACGTTAGATTAGTTCTATCAAAAGCTATGTATAACAATAATTATAAGCTACACATATTTTTACCAGAATGTTTATAAACGTTCTCGTCATTTTGCCTTCTTTTTTTGAATGAAATTGTTTTAATTTTTATAAAACTGTATATTTTCCATCAATTGCTAACTTTCCGTCCAAAATAGACCACTTAATAAAACGGGTAACTGCAACATTAGAATCTACACCTTAAATCACATAGTTTCAAGGAAGCAGATCTCATGAAAACGGTCAACACAACAATGATTGAGCTGGGGATCCACTGACGGTTTCTGTACACAAACTGAATTACCAACTGAACTGTTGTTATTCGTGAAAGGTATTCAGCAGATTTATACTTCCTAAGCGTTATATGAAAAAAGATATTATCTTCCGGCTAATTTTCCACTAAATGTGAAGTGAACAAATATCCTTCATAATAAACAGGTTGTAACAAATAAAATGATTGTCTGGTGCTGTTGCATTCAGGTTACTTAAAAGTGATATCTCGATAAATTGTCCTCTTGGCAGTTTAGCACCGATTGGCTGGCCTGGAAGGAAAGAGAAAGATATATTAATTATCACTGACGTTAAAAGATTTAAGAAAACGTCGTTGTCTCGCGGCTAGACGCTCGGCTGCGGATCGGAAGGTCGGGGGTTTGGTTCGTGACGGGGGCCGGAATGTTTCAAAAAATGACATTGACTTCCAGGTCGACCAAGCCCTGAGTGGGTACCAGGTGCAGTCTTGGGAAGTAAAGACGGCCAGCGTGATGCTGACCACATCACCCACCAAGTGCCGTTTGGTCTATAAAATATAGGTCTAGCCTTATATACCCAACTAGCTGTGCCCTGCCACGCGTTGCTGTGGCCCCGAATGGTGAAATGGAAAAGAAAGAAAGTAGCTCTCAGCTAACAGTGTCTGTCATAACCCTCATGCCCCTTCCCTCTTCCCTCCACCCAGTCATGTCTCCCTCTCCGAAGGACTGATAAATGATCCCTGGCGAAAGTATTAAAATAGAAATAGTTAAGACATGAGAACTTGAAAATAATGTTTTAAGCTCTCTCAGCTAACAGTGTCTGGCATAACCCCCCCCCCCCCCCCCCTTTCCAATAATATGTCCCTCTTCGAAGGAATAAAAAAATCATCACTTGGCGAAATTATTAAAATAGAAATAGTAAAGAAATTATAAATTTAAAATTATGTTTTAAGCTCTCTCAGTTAACAGTGTCTGGCATAACCCCTCCCCCCCCCCCCCTCCAATAATATGTCCCTCTTCGAAGGAATTAAAAATCATCACTTGGCGAAATTATTAAAATATAAATAGTTAAGAAATTATAAATTTAAAATAATGTTTTAAGCTCTCTCAGTTAACAGTGTCTGCCATCACCCCCCCCCCCTTCCCACTAATCATAAGGATGGAAAAGTCATCATCTGACGCAATATTGTAACTAAATTGAGCTTTGCATCCGTGTCCACCCAGAGACAGATGAATAGCATTAATGTGTAATGAGAAGTAAATGTGGCCAGTGTAACAGCTACCACAGTAAACCACCCAAATTAAACTTGACTGTAAGCAGTCTTAGTTAACAGCTTCAGTCATCAACGAATAGTTTATGATCGAAGCGTCGCGGGGAGGACTTTACTGAAATCGGATGTCTTTGGGTGAAAGGTGCAGATATCGCAGCCTATCTGTAAACCACAACACAACATGCCAACAACCCTCTTGAGGGAAAAAGAAAAATTAGCACCTATCGGAGAATCGAACACCGGTAAACCACGTGAAGGGTGGAATACGTACAACTTAACTACCTAAGACTGTAGAGTTTAGGTACGATATCACAGCCTAGCTGTAAACCACACAAAAAACGTGCCAACCGCCCTTTCAAGGGCGAAAAGAAGATTACACGTGACATGACCAACATCACTAGCTGTAAACCCCCAAACCAAGCGGCAAAAAAGACGTAGATATCGCAGCCTAGCTATAAGCCACAACACAACGTGCCAGCCGCTTAGTTAAGGGCAAAAAATTAATCACCCAGCGGGGCATTGATCGCCAGTCACCCGCGTAACACGCAACATATACAACTACGCTACCAAGGACTCAAGCATCTGCCCAATTATATCTCCGTCTCCAAATGAGTGAAACTAATATGTGGTGACATTGTTAAAATAGAAATAGTTAAGAAATGAGAAATGTAAAATAATCCTCTACGAAGCATGGAAAAGGCATCGCCTGACGAAATATTGTTGTTAAATTGAGCTGGGCATCCGTGTCCACCCAGACAAAAATGGGTAGCATTAATCTGTACTGAGAAGTAAATGTGACCAGTGTAACAGCTACCACATAACCCATCAAGTACCAGTACTATTGCTACCACTACCACCACCACCGTCACAACAACAACAACACAAAACGGTCACTACTGTCTGTACAGGTCGTTCTAGCCAGAGGAGTTGGCGCTGGGCGTAAGGCGCAGATGTCGCAACTTAGCTGTAAACCACAACGCAACGTGCCAATCGTCCCTTTAGGGGACAACGAAAAATTAGCACTCAGCGGGGAATCGAACACCGATCATCCACGTGAAGGGCGGAATACTTAAAACTTTGCTACCGAAGACTGAAGACTTTAGGTCACATATCGCAGCCTAGCTGTAAACCACAACACAGCGTGCCAACCGCCCTGTCAAGGGCGAACACTGAGCATCATGTCGTCGCTATAGCAGGCTAGCTGTAAAACCACAAAATCGAACGGGGGGAAAAGCGTAGATATTGCAGCCTAGCTATAAACCACAACAAAACGTGGCAGCCACCCAATTAGGGGCCTAAAACAAAAATTACATCACCAGCGGTATATCGAACCCCTATCACCCGAGTAAAAAGCGAAATTCGTACAACTACGGTATCAAATACTTTGGCATTTAGTAGAAATGAAAGTATATAATAAGAATGTGAAGTTCGGTGTTACACAGTCAAAGTGGCTGACTGACTAAAAACAAATCCGGGCCGGCAACGAAACAAATAATGATTTGACCGTTGCTGGAGCTACGTCGTTCGTAGTTTGTGCGATTTTGTGGACACCCCCCCCCCCCCCCCCCTACAAAAACAAAACAAAAAAACGTGTGAAAATTTGAAAGCAATCGGATCAGTAGTTTCCGAGTTTTTAGGATTCAACATCGGAAAATTAACATTTTTATTAATATAATAGATACTCTTGAAAGGCGTGGAAAAGGGTCCTTTAATTTTGACTTGTAGTTAAAGGATTTTACTGTTTCAATACTTTACTAAATTCTTTACCATTACCCCAGCGATTAACGTAGTAGAAGAAAAAAATCAGCTATAAATAGTGAAAGCACTAACACACATAAAGTCCTCATCAACAGCTTGAAGGACTAGTGATCAATCAAGATCAGACAGCGACGATAGTCATAACAAATCAGGGACAGGATAAACAGCCAGCCACATACAAAATCATTCAGGGTGTATGGGTTTAGCACCAACAAGGAAATGATGGTTGACGTTTAGGGAGCCGACATCTTCCCTGTAGCAACATACAGATGTAGGTTGTGGACTGCAGCAACATACAGATGTGGGTTGTGGACTGTAGCAACATACAGATGTGCGTTGTGGACTGTAGCAACATACAGATGTGGGTTGTGGACTGTAGCAACATACAGATGTGGGTTGTGGACTGTAGCAACATACAGATGTGGGTTGTGGACTGTAGCAACATACAGATGTGGGTTGTGGACTGTAGCAACATACAGATGTGGGTTGTGGACTGTAGCAACATACAGATGTTGGTTGTGGACTGTAGCAACATACAGATGTGGGCTGTGGACTGTAGCAACATACAGATGTGGGTTGTGGACTGTAGCAACATACAGATGTGGGTTATGGACTGTAGCAACATACAGATGTGGGTTGTGGACTGTAGCAACATACAGATGTGGGTTATGGACTGTAGCAACATACAAATGTGGGTTGTGGACTGTAGCAGCATACAGATGTGAGTTGAGGACTGTAGCAACATACAGATGTGGGTTATGGACTGTAGCAACATACAGATGTGGGTTATGGACTGTAGCAACATACAAATGTGGGTTGTGGACTGTAGCAGCATACAGATGTGAGTTGTGGACTGTAGCAAAATACAGATGTGGGTTGTTGACTGTAGCAACATACAAATGTGGGTTGTGGACTGTAGCAACATACAGATGTGGGTTGTGGACTGTAGCAACATACAGATGTGGGTTGTGGACTGTAGCAACATACAGATGTGGGTTATGGACTGTAGCAACATACAGATGTGGGTTGTGGACTGTAGCAACATACAAATGTGGGTTGTGGACAATCTCTCAGTCATTACGGGGGAAAAGTATGGGCTTTTGAGCTGAAATGCTGTAAACATATACTCAGAATATTATAAGCAGAAAAGAAATTCTGACACCCGAAAAGATCTGAATATCAAGGCCAGTAAACTGAAATATTTGTTGGTCCTATCAAGCGCCATGACAGATTAGAAAGAGTAGTAGCAAAAGGCATGGTACCAGGAATCAGGGGCAGGACCTGACCAACACCAACAAGTGCTAAGGAAATAAGTGACAACTTGGCTCTGAAAATGTATGAGGCGGGAGAGTTGGCGAGAGACCGAGTTTCTTTCAGGCAGACCGTGACTGGAGCGATGTTTTGCAAAGGACCTGCTACATGATGATGATGATGATGATGAAATACAGACAGGAAGCCGCAAGCATGCTGCGGTTGTACGCTCGCTGTCGGGTCAAAGGTTTTGGATTAGAGTCTGCACTAAGTTGGATGATGTGCTCTCACAGCTGACTTTGGCTCCAGAGACTATCCTGCCTTAACTAAGCACCAGGCAATATCCT